CCGCTATCGCCGCAGCCTCTGCAACGAGCCTCCGGTCGGCCTGGGGCGCACTGAGGCCTTCTGCGAGGGACTGAACTTTCAGCTGAAAAGAACGTGGCAAAGCGCAGCATCAAGCAGGTAAGGCAACGCTACAATTATAGTTTGGTCTCTTGAACAGAGATATATTGTACTGGCATAGGAGCCCCTCGCTTCTCCCAAACATCTGCACCTGGAGGGGCTCATATTCGGAAACACACAACAGCGAAAAGGGAGACGGTAGAGGCCGCGTACGTCGAGAACCAGCTCCCAATAGCTGATGGCATCTAGCTCATTGATCTTAGGCCACCATGCCGCTGCTCTATACGCTTTCTTGTTATGGGAGAGCCGGGGACGAGCCTCCGGGGAAGCGAAACACGGGACCTGAGAGGAGGCGGAGGAGTTTCGGGTGCACAAAATCACACGTAATTGCGTTTCCTAAGAAACACACACTTTTTTACAATGAGCTCTGGAACACAGCCCCGACTCAGTGATCATGAGGAAGAAAGGAGAGAAGGTGGGCCTTCATAACTGTACCTGCAATACGATACCTCGTCGCACCCTGTATCCTCGGTAGCCTGCTTGGATTTTCGTAGCCGCAAGACTCTGAGGGGATACAGAGGGGCCCTTGCATGCTAGACAGAGATGTGATTCAGCAAACGGATATTTGTGATGCGGGAAACCTATCACCTCTCAAAGAGACCCTATGGGTTAGGGTCCAAGAGGGACGAGACGCACCTCGAGGAAGGCTCTTATTTCTTTTTTCTCCCTTTCTTTCTGCAGCTGCTCTTTCAGATGAGGGTCCACTTTCTTCCTAACACCGCTGTACCACGCACACACGCACAAGTCACACGAAAAATCTCCGCCCAGGTTCATTGGCAGAAGCGGTCACGCAGTACTGTCCGCCGGGGACGGGATCGACAAGATCTGTTGGGTTCCTCCGTAAATTAACACAAAGACGGCATCTAGTGATGCGCGTAGGTTCACAGTGGAAAAACTGGAAACTAGCACTAAAGCGGATGCGTCTGCGCCCTGAAAGCTGAAAAGCGATAGAGCTTAGAGGAGCAAACACGCCACCTTGCGGATTCGTTGGTGGCTAGTTGTGCGAGCTACCCGCCCAGTAGCCATTCCTCACCTGGCACCCACGGCAACAGCAGCATCTACGACTGTGTTTGTGTCCCTTTGGAGATTTCCTTGCTGGTTTGTTGTCTCTGCCCCAGCTAAAGTGTCATGACTCGCGTCCCTAAAGGCTTCAGCCACTGCGGGGTCAAGGCGAAGGCGAAAAGCGAGCTTTTCCATATACGCATTTCTGCGGTTGCGGTCCACCACTCTTTGGGCATCTAGCCGGTACTGCTCTTGCTCCCGCTTGCTTGCCTTGTGCTCTAGCCAGGCCTCTTCTGTCAAGCGGACCCTTGCTGCTGCATGCTGCCTCTCAATGTTCAGCTAAGGACAGGGGTGACACGCAAGACAAAAAGCAAGTCAAAAGCATCTCTGCAAGTGTAGGCCTTACAGCGGCGTGGAGAGAACAGCTATAAGCCCGAATTAATGTCTTTAAATGGATGCCGATGTTGTGCTATCACTGCTTAAGCATTGTTTGTGCGGTAAAGCCAACGGATCAGGTGTCATCACTACAGCCGGCAAGAACCGTCTCTAGTTCCTCCCTTGCCATCAACGTGATGCCCTCACTTTCCTCCTTAGCTCCCGATTGTACCAATCGACGAAGGTCCTGTCAAACCCTTCGAGCGCTGACGCTGTGTCTTGCGGCTTCCCAATTACTGGCCGTGGATGCCTTTCTGTCGGATTGTCTTGGAAAGACTCTCGTTGGACTTCAGGGAGCTTCAGACAGCTTTTTCGACCCTTGAAGAGCTTAGCCTCTGAAGGTGTTCTTGTAAGTGCAGGCGCCTCGCTCGGTGTTTCAGTGGGAACAGAGGGTAGAATCGTGTCTGGCGCACCGCGGCGCTTCTTGGTGGCTGTGGAGTGACTTGAGCTGCAAAAATCTCCACCAATGCGGTCGAGCGCATGTAGAACCGGGGCGAGGGCTCGTGTAGCCCTCGGTACACATGGTGGAGGGGCTGGAGGCTTTGGGTGCACTCCTAGGCGGCCACTCTCCAGGTGCTTGTGCAAGTCTATGGCGCGATGTAGGGCGTAGTACCGCTGTACAAAGAGGAAAACCAACAGGAAGCAAAATAACGCTCTGCGGCTACGGAGTATAATAGCGGCAACAAAGTGCAGAGCCTGGTGGAAAGCGACGGAAAGCAGTAGTATGTAAAACAGATGTATGGGCCCTTGCAAAAGAGCCACTGCCTAAACACAAGTAGAGGAAATCTGCGTTTTTGAATGCACGGGTTCTGAGATCGAGGCTACGCGAGAGTGACAAAAATCTTGAAATCACGTGGCCAGTGCAGCTGGTAATTCGTTGCCCGAACGTTAGAAAAGGCAGGCGCCACGGCCATGTATAAGGAAGGGATGAGATGCACCTCAAGAAGAGTGAAATCGATTTTATGGTTCATCGTCGGTGCTGCTGCCACTGGAAGAAGCTGCAAAACGTGTGCAGGTGCCCTGGGGAACCCAATACCGCCAAGCCAGGGCTGCTTCGGGGTTGGGCAGCCAGCAGTCGAGGGAGGGGCACTGCAGGGGGTAACTTGGGAATAACACGTCCATGTGGGGGCTTCAGAAGCTGTAGGTGGCCACGGAATTTCTGTGGGCTGACCATTCCATCCCGTTAATGGGGTGGTCCCTAAGGGCGGGTGCTGCCCCATCGAGGGAGCCCCTACTTGGAAGTTCGAAGCCATGGCCTCGACTGGCAGGAGGCGATGGAAAATGCCTCAAGCCAGATCCCAGAGGCATTGGAGCGGGTTATTAGGGTGGAGTCAAGGCCCTCTGCTGTTGACGTGTGTGCCTAATGCTCCAGCAACAAAGGAAGGCAGAGACTTGCCTAGCTCGCCGCTTTTGAGCTCCCATGCAGAGCATCATTACAGCAGCGTAAGCATGCAGCATCGAAATAAGACGCATACAGGATCTTTGGCAAGGGACATGAGGATGAAAAGAGAGGTGCAGCTACTTGAATTACTTGTCATACTGTGGTTAGAGGATGCCAGATTCATGGAAGCAGACCTTTAATAAGATGACACTGTGAGGCTTTAGCTGACAGAAAATAGAAGGAAAATCAAAGGAAAAGACAAAAGAAGCAAGTGGGGGCTGAAACCGATAAGATACTCGAGCAAGCTGCATCGATCGCCATCTTACCACCGCCGAGACTCAATGGAGCCCGCACCATGCACGTGCTCTCATGAGGCTACTGCAGACAATCTTCCTCTCTTAAAGCAGTAAAGCAATAAAAAACATGCGTGCACCTTGTTTGTGGCCTTGAAACAGCAGAATTGTGTTCTGCCTAAACTGTGGAAGCACAAAGTTGTACGCAACCAACCATCGGACCACTAGGCGTTCAGCTCAGGGGGCACCCGAACCTGGCTTCGACCCTGAGTACAAGGAACTTTGAAACAGAATATACAAAACTGCAGCCCTGATCCCTGAGCATCATTCTTAGAGGAATACTCCCATTTCCATCCTGGGAACTGAGAGGGAGCAGGAGCGCTGCCGACTGCACCTGTCTCGCCCTTCCACTCTCCCGCTTTCTTGCTCCCCTTCCTACAACGCCAAAAACGTTTTGACACCTTGTTACATAGCATCCCGCAGCTCTGGCTCCTCCATTAACACGCAACAGTAATAGTCCCTATCCACCTTGTTGCGGATACATTAGCGTTCTCTTTGATGCTGAGGAAGAACCCTCAAGCAGTTGCGCGTCGGCAACAGCCGTCCAATGGGGGCATTCTTTCAAGTAGTCACACTCACGAGCTGCTGGTTCCTCATCACACTGTCCTCTACTCGCAGCGGAGAGCTCTGAAGCACCCTACCTAGCTCACAGAGTCTGCTGTTTACCCAGAGTGAACAAAGCAGGAGAGTATAATGGACTAAACCAGTGTGCTGGTTACTGCTGACGCAGGAGACAAACAGACCGCTACTATTCGCGAAAAGGCCTGGTGGTCAGCTTTCGTGGACTACACCACTCTCAGCCACATGTGGTTCACGCGAATCTCTCCCATACACTGCGAATACACTACTGCATAGGAAGACAAATCCTAAAGCGATTACTGGAATGAGTAGCTACAAAGAGGGTTCCTGTGATGGCGAACTGTGTATTTCCTCAGAAGCTACCTGTTGCCTCAATCTATCCCGCCTCAGCAGGTTGTTTTCCTATCACCTCTCTCCATTCTGTCCCTGTACCTTCCCCTCTTCCTAGATCACTATGCAGGCATTGATAGAGCGTTACTTGGAAAACTATGATAGTGAAACTGCCCTCAAAACTGAGTGGGGCTCCCGCCCCAGCACCTTCTGTGGCTCGAATCTTGAACAGCTGAGCCGTCGGTGTTCTTCTGCGATTACTGCGTGGATCGTAGAATTTGAAGGGAAGTGATTCAACGTCTAGCTCAGCCTCAAGCAGTTCTCACCAGCTTGCTGCTATACCCTGAATTACTGATTCTACATATTCTCCAGAATGAAACGAGGCACTAGGCGCAGCCAAGTGCCTTCTGCCGATCATCGTAATACCGAATTTTCACTGCCTTGTTTTTTACAGATGCAAATGCCTGCTGCCTCAACATCCCTGTCATCTCTGAATCTGTGCGCGCGTCGCTTTTTTGTGGCGTACTTGCAGCCCTAAAGCGCTACATTAACATCCGCCACAGCACGGGCGCACCCCCTCCTGCCAGTACACTAGTGCCGGCCTATTGAAACAAGATGTGTGTCTTAATGGGTAAAAGGGAAGAAGGGCTGAGCACGCAGAGCGCTCCTCTGATATGGAGACTTAACGGCGGAGGCAGCAAGCAAAGCACCACCAGGCAACAGCAGCAATCCGGAGTAGCAGAAACAACAAGGGCACAAGCCAAAAGCGAGGCGGCGCTCCAACACATCAGGATTGCGGCTCTTTAGTCGAACTGCTGCCTGAGTTGCATCCATGCTTCGGGCTTCCACGTGGCGTGAGACGACTGACCCTTCTTTCTCTTGAGCCGCTCCTTTTCCTTTATTGTCAAGGCCCTCTTCTGCCGTCCGCCGTCTGCGAGAAGAGCGAAAGAGAAAAGACAACCCCTCGTCTCAGGCCAAAGGAGGTGCACAGAGAAGCAGCACAGAAGCAGATAGAGTGCCGAGAAGCGGCACAGCCCATGGTAATGCAAAAGGCACTTGGAGCAAATGACTGCACATGCATGAAAATCCAAGAATGTACGCAGACTTTATGCACGCCAAGACAGCACACTGGGGACGCAAGACAGTACAGCCAAAGGGCCAATACAAAAAGAGAAGAGGGCTATACTAAAAAGGATCGAACCAACGAGGCAGTGGTCGAATTATCGTTTCTCATCTACCTAGATGCGAGGCTGCATTCAGAATAGTTACATGCTGCCTACCGGGATCTTCCTTCTTGCGTCCTCCTTCATCCTCCGCCTCTCCCGCCGCTGGTTTGTAGCCTCCGCGTCCTTCTACGCCAACGAGCGGCACATGCCAGCCGACACCAACAGGCAACCCCACATACACTGCAGAGACGGGAGCGCAGAGAGACCCTTCGGAAAAAGAGCAGCTTCGACGTGGTTCGCACACCGCAAAGAGAAGACACGACCCTCTCTACAGAAATCGGGAGAGGGCACAGTTTTCCCATGCAACATAACACCACCACCCGCCGACTGAATCTTCATGCCAAACACAGCTGCGGAAAGGTGGCTCCCCCTCCCCCGTCCCCTGAAGATCCTGCCACACGGGAAAACTGACAAGGGCATACATACCCTGCTGTGATTTCTTCTTTGGCATGCGAGAGCCGCCACCTACTGGTCCAGACGCCGCCACATGCTGGACCTCATCTCCTACCAGTCGTGCCGCGCGTTCGATGGCCTCTTTTTCCCTTTGCTGCTGCTTTTGAAGCACCCGTTGCTCTGCAGCGTTGAGGGCTATGTCTGCAGCAGGCAGAGACACGGGAGCCTCCTCTGTCTTCCCATGAGGCTGCTGCAGCTGCCGCCGAAGTCTTCTGCGCTTCTCCCTCAAGAGATCCTGAATGCTGAAGACCTCGTCATCCTCCGCTCCTGCGGCATCGCCTGCTGAATCTCCTGAAAGAAACGGCCCATGCCCGCTCTCGCCCTCCGCATTGCGAGCAGTCGCATTGCCGTTAGTCATTTGTTCGCCATCTGTCGAAGCTGCCCGCAGGGAGCTCCCCTGCAGGCTTTCTTCTTGTGGCTCCTTGAATATGTCAACGGGAGAGCATGACGATTCGGACGCGGGTGAACTCAGGCCGTCCAATTCCCTTTGGATGCGTGCGAGATCTTCAGCTTGCAGCATCTTTTGAGGAACGGAGCAGGCAGAAGCACGAGCGAAAAGAACGACGAGGCCTAATGGGGAGGGGGTGGCGCCAGCAGCAGGAAAGCTGGGCAGGGGGGGGTTCAAAGGAAGGAAGGGGGTGAACCGCCTCTTTACAGACGCCGACGCACACGCTCCACGAATAACGGGGTTAATTCGCCGCGAAATTCGCCTGTTCAGGAAAACAGCATCCAGCCAACTTCGCGCTTCCAGAGGCTGGAACAAAGGATGAAGGGTTCACGGAGCAGGAAGACCTCGCGGCATGTGAGGAAGAGCATTATCATACAGATAGCCTGGAATTCGCGATTTTCAGACTAAGGAAAGTAACATACATTAGCAGGCGGATGCCATTCCCTACAGAGCGCACGGACAGGGGCCTCCACAGAAGAGTGGAAACCGAGGAAAGCGACCTCTCCTTCGATCCTGCCTGCAATACTTAAGTCCTCTTACCAAGGTTCGAAGAATCAAAGGAAACAAAGCAGACATGCCGGGAAAGACAGCCAGAAGGGGAGATGCAGATGGCTGCTCTTCACTGCCGCCGCCTACTGCTCAAGCGCATGTGGCGTGCATTCAGGGAACCGCGACCTTGTTCGCTCTTTCCAGGCTTCTATTCCAGAGAGCAGCAAATGGCGCTTGATCCGTTCTCACAGCATACCACCTGCCGTTCATGTGTGACCCTCGTTTCGCAGCGCTGTGCACAGACGCTCAGCTTTCGCCGCCCCTCGGGCAGCACCGCTTCATAACAGAAATCTGAGACCGCAGGTTCTTCCTTCGGCTCTGCTGCTGATAATGCAGAATTGCGTGCGCTGCGTGGGCAGCTGCACTTCTGCAGCCTTGCAGAGGAATACGAGGGCCCTCGCGACTGCCGTCGTGCCCTTCCACTACTCCCCGCTTTTCCAGCTCTCTAAGGAACCGAAATGCCAGTTCAGACGACTCGACAAGCTCAGCAATGGTGAGTTACACGGAGGGGGACACGCAGCAGACGCAGCATATCCCAGGCACTGAACGCCCCCCACCAACAGCGCTGGCAGCTCCATGCGTCTTCCTGTATGTGCTTGTGTAAGAGCAAAAAAATACGGCCTCCCAGCCGGTGCACCTAGTCTGGGAGCACTAAGACAACCGTTCGCTTCCTACCTCCCTCCCCTCACCGTTCGACACCCACTCCGCGTCCCCTTTTCTCCCCACACCCACCCGTCTTCTCCTCTTCCAACTGTTCCACATACCGCACTTATTAGACCTGGACTCCTCTCTCACCATCGCCCTCACTCAATGTTTATGGCCGCTACTCTTCCCTGCTGAACCCGCGAGAGAGACTAAGGTCTTGTTTTACCGTCGCAACGGCCACGCTGAGGGCGGCCGCGTGGGTCTGGCGGGGGGGGGG